TATATATATATATAATATGTCTTAAATCAATAAAATATATAGTGTGCTCTAACCTTTACATATGGACATTCAAATTCTGAAATTAAAGAGCCAGCTCTGGAGAAAACAGCTACATGAAAACGATTACCATGTGAATCTCCAATTAATACATCTCCTGCATCGCTAATATCAATCCCGTTCGGGAAGTTTGTTACATTCTCACAGCCAATGCGACGCAGGAATTTACCCTCTTCATTAAATACCACGACACAATGTCCCTTGAAGTCGCAAACAAAATATTCTTTGCCTAAAGATTGGGTTATAAAGAATTATATATTATATATGTCTCTATACGCGCACGTTATTTAAACTTTTATAGGCAAAAATTTATTAAGGCAAAAGAAAAAAAATGATGCCTACCACTGATAGCGATATCACTTGGTTCTCTCATATAGTCACTGCAATCGAACCATCTCAAAAGATCTCCTGTATCACTAATTACGAACACAGTTGGCGACACACTGTCAACAGCCACAATATGTCCTTGGCTGGTAACAGCTAGGCCAGCTACGATATCGATGTAACGAATAGCGATCTTCTTAATAAAGTGACCGTTCTTTGTAAATATTTGCATCCGAGATCGTTCATTTCCACGATCACATACAACAAATTTGCCGTTATTTCTCATAACAGCTACTTTCCTGGGATACCACAATTGTCCTTCCTCTTTACCAGGAACACCAAATTGAAATTTGAAGGTACCAGTCTTATCAAAAATCTGGAATTAATGTGTAAGTTATATAATTTAGTGTAACATTTATGCAGCTTTTCCTTATAAAGAAATAGTTATTGTTTCTATATATTACATAAGGTAACTACCTGAATCCTATGATTATTTGTATCTGCAACAATAATATCTTCATCAGTTCCTAGACAAAATCCATGAGGCGAATTAAACTGCCCTTTACTGGGTCCTAATTGTCCAAACTTGCTTCGGATATGCATAGGCGTCAGTTTGGTATTTTGAGATCTCGGGTGAGCAGGGTAATTCCCTGTCCCTGATCCAGTTACATTGGCAACGGTATTTCCTACTACTACAGGCATGTTATGTATAGAATCACCTATTAAGTCATCTAAAAATAAAATATTGATATTAATAAAAACAAATGCAATAATTTAAAACCATTCTCTTACTTTTGTAACTGTTATTTATGAAGAAAATTTGTTTATTTTTTTAGCAATATCAATCATATAGAGATTAGAATAATCTTACCAGCACCCTGTGAAAGTATCGGCGAAGTAGAAGAGGACAATGGTTGAAATCCTCCATTTAATAAACTATTGGCAGCCAAAGGACCCAGATTTGGAGTGTCTACAATGGCTGGCGAAGGTCCACGTCCCAATACTAATCCACCACCACCATTAATAGTAGCATTTCCAAGATCTGTATTGTTGAAATAAATTTGTTAGATGCATTATAATAATGTGACAATGGAAATAATATAATTCATATATAATAAATCTAGAAAATTTTTCAATGTATGTAATAAAATAAAAGATTTTTAATTTTATAAAGAGAACAGAAGTAACATGTAAATAAAAAATATGATTAATAGCAATTAAAAATCAATTAAATATTAAGTAGCAATAGCATTAAATATATATTGTACATAAAATGTGTGTACAAAACTGAAAAATATAGACTGTAATAATTCTAGAATATCTGTTCCCTGAAAAATTGTAGCATTACATTTGGAGGAGATAAGAGAGAATAGCGCAGAAACGTGCTGCAGCAAACTCATAAATTTTTTAACATTGTATTCTTTACCTTGATTACCAAGAGTATTTCCTAATTTTGCAAGAGCTTGTAAATTATTGATGGCATGGCTCGTTGAACTTAGGTCCCCAGTAAATAAGTCTGCCAAAGAAAAGGACGGAGTTGGACTAGGGTTTGAGCTAGATCCAACTACACCAGTGTCACCCACCATCTCTACCTTCTCCGCTAAACTGGCCAGTTGTTGTAGGTTGTATTCTTGGATACTAGTCAGTCCATGGATAGGAACTGTACCTGGTGGAAGAGGTACGGGTGGTGGAGGTGGCGGAATATTTTGAGGACTCGAAGTTGGTGGTATAACAAATGAGGGTTCACCTTCAAAAGAGGATTGCATTGATGTGGGAAGTGAAATAGGAGAGCTTGTGCTGATAGAACTTGGACAACCCATTGAAGTGGTATGAACCATTTGCTGATTTGTAGAGACTCCTGATACCGTTGAAATTGGCTCAGGAAGAGTTTTCACTTCCGGTGTGCTTTCAGTATGAAATTTTCCAAATACCTCCTGTAATAATACCACACATGTGAATTTGTGAGACATTAATTTAATTTGAGCAAGTGTACAATAATAATTATACTTATTTACCTTTACAGTATTCTCAAATTGATTATAATCCGTTTGAAATTCGATAGAGAATGTTACATTGTGTTTTGGTGTATTTTTAATTAAATTCATCAATTGAGCTCTTACAATACGACGAAGGGCCAAAATCTCCACTGCATCACCATGTTCTAGGAGTCTTGAAGTAAAACGACAAGCATCCTCTATTTTTTCTACTGTCTTTTCAACACTGTAACAAAATTTGAATGAAATTTATCTTATTCATTTTATTGAAATATGTTAAATAAATATTATGCTTTCTGTCTTAATTTATTAATAAAATATAGACAGTTATGGAATATGCATATACCTGTGAAAAGTATCCATGATTTCAAGTTCTCTGTCCGAATGCAATTTCTCGAGGTCGGTTAATGCATTATCTTTACATTTCTCCAATATAGCCTTATAACTTTGAAAAGTCTCTATAATTAAATCTTTTGCTTGGTCATGTTGTATTTGCAGCTCGCTGAGGGCATTCTCCAATTGTACTGAAACCTGATCGCATTCAACGATTTTTGCTTTACTCTCAGTCATCAAACTGACTAACTCTTCCTTTTGTCGTGGTTCTACATCTGTCAGTCGTTCATATTGATGCTCTGGTGCTTTGTGCTCCACAAGCAGACATTCATTGCAAATAGGTTCCTAATCATACAATTTAATTTTATACTTGTGAGATTCTATTAATACCAGAATTAAACTATGATATAATTATTTCAAAAACATAAAAAATAGTGCAACGAAGTAAAGATAAAAATAAAAGTTGTACAATGAATTGTTTTCCTTTTTATAAAATATTTAATGCCTTTTCTACGATCATTAATTTGGAAATTATTTAAGAATACAGTCAATGTCTCAATTCTTTTTCTATATGTGTGTACAGAATAAAATATACAACTATATAAATTAAAATTTGCAATTCTATACATGTGTGTATTCTGTATATTTAAAAATATTATATGTTAACATTTATACAAAAATTTAATTTAAAGAACCCATTAATATAGAATTTCTAATTAAAAGTGCAATGCATTAATATCATTACTATCCTAAACATTTAAATATTTCAATGATAGAAAATTTATGTTTAACAATTTCTTAAGATTATATTAGTAGAGCAATATTTACGCAAGATATTGAATTTTGATCGAAAAAATATTCACTTCCCACACATACCTGGCATGTATGACAATAGAACTTCATATTTTCAGCGGGATGGCATTCGCAAAATATTGGTTTATGTATCGGAATAGCTTCGTTGGATTGCTTCAAGTCTTCAAAGGCAACTACTTTATGGTGCTCGAAGCAACGCATAAACTGATGCGCCGTGTTGCAATTTGGACACAGGAAATTGGCGCAATCCGAACAACGCGCCACGGCGCTCTCTTTGGCCTTGCAGGAGGTACATAGTACTGCCATGTTCTCGATAGCGGACATGTCCAATATATTGGTAAGAACATAGTCGCATGTGAGCGACGCGGCGCCCTTAGAACTAACGGAAGTCTCTTGATGGCATACGGGACAGTTTATGATCGAGCCCACTTTGGAATCCCCGGCCTCGTCCATGAGAAGCTTGTCCAAACAAGTTTCGCAGAACACGTGGAGGCAGGAGAGAACCCTGGGCGAGCACAGCTTGCTCATACATACGGCGCAACCCTGATCGTTGGCCTCGCCGTTACCGCACGTTATCTCCTCCAGGGCATCGCCGGGGTTGCCACTGTTGTAGCCGCCGACGGAGTTGACGGAGTTACGCTCGCCGAATATATCGCCACCGTCGATCTCCTCGGTGCCAGCCGCGGTGGCGATGCCGCCGTTCGTGGTCGGTGATACCGTGGCGGCCCCGGACGGAACGGCCACCGTGGACGATGCCATCCTGCGACCACGGAACGATCAAGAAGGAGAGAGGGAGCGATGTCCCGACGTCCTCCGACCGTGCTTATCTCAGGTACTCGCGGATTCAGATCGTCGCGAGAATTCTTCTTCTCTCTTTTTTTTTTTTTTTTTTTTTTTTTTTTTTTTTTTTTTTTTTTTTCCTTTCCTCGAAAGATTTCGTGCATTCGAGCCTTCGAAAGAGCATTTTTAAGAAAACTCAGCACCAAGTCTGTGCAAAATTTCCGCTATTTGAACGTTTTCATTAACCAAAAAGCGAATAACTATACGTTGCACAACAAAAATACGAATACTGCTCGTTTTGACAAACACTAACTTCGAGGATTCACTAACTAACTATATAGAGCTCTCTGTTGTAGAGATATTCCTTTTCTACTTTATCAATAATTCTATTTAGATCTACATTTAATTTTAAACATGCTATAGATAAATTTCGGTTTATATGTTTAAACTGATCTTGCCCACATACATAGAGAAAAGTGCTTTATAGAGAATTAGATAAAATTATTCTTTAGGTAAAATTTATATATATATACATACTTTCTCGTGCACTTTTTTTTCCCTTACTTTTTCTCGCCTCTGCACGCTTCTGTTGGTCGAGAACGAGAGAGAACGAGAGCGAATGAGAGCGAATGAGAGGGATGGCAAAGATTCTCTAGGATCTTTTCTCACGAGGCGCGCGATGCTCGAAACATCGTACTGTCGTGCTCGCTCGCCACGCGCGAGAAACAAAACACGGGACGATTGACCGGCTGGTCCTACTCGTCGCTCGTCGCGCGCGAAGAAGGCAGGAGGTCGCGCGAATCGCGAAACGGGCCGCGCCAAGAGCGTATACTCGGAAAAAAAGAATCTCTTTCTATCTTGCGTGAGCTTGGCCGCGTATACGTATGTGTGTGTGTGTGTATGTAGATATGTGTGTATATGTATGTACGTGTGCGCGACTAACGGTTGTTCGTCTCGTATATATCGCGCAATTTCTTACTTCGAGATTGCGTCCTTCCTCAACGAGGACCACGAAAATCGCGCAGTCGGAATAGCAGCTGATCGCGCGCGTACATTTATTTACATCATAGTACCAATCACGCACTCCGTCGCCGTCGTCGTTGTCGTCCTCTTCGTCGTCGTCGTCGTCGTGGTCGTGGTCGTGGTCGTCGTCGTCGTCGTGTATCGTCGCGTTGTAGTTGCACTAAAACTTCCCGATCGTCGACTTGTCGTTCGACCCTGCGGCTCGCGTATCGGGAACACTCTTAAACATTATTAGCCTCGACGTGCGTTGCGCGGGATCCTTTTCTTTCACGATCCTTGACGATGATGATTATAAATTTTCTCTTGCTATCAACGCGCCTCGTCCGCGAATATTTCGCAGTCCTTCATACGTGGAACAAACGAATAAATCATTCGAACCCAGAAGAGCTCATCCCCTCGATGCGGGAACCTTTGGGTAGTCGATACTGAGATAAGAAACGCGAATAACTAATAATTGCCCGCGCATGCGTGCGTATGCGATGCGACAGCCAATCAACGTCGCTTCTCTGAATATTCGAGAGATTCTGACGCTATCGGACTATATTCATTGAAGTTTAAAATTTAATCAATCAGAAGAAAGCTCCTTTTGTTCCGGTTAATCAAATTTCAATTTTTAATACGTAATCTGATACGGACTTTATGCAAATTTGTCTCTAGGCTTTAAATCTTAGTTAGTTCCTTTTATCCTGTAGCGGGATACAGTAACTTGCTATCGACAGTTTTCGGTATCGTTAACTAGCGGCAGCCAATGGCAAGGATCTAGTGAAATTCTTTTTTGAGCTGAAAATTTTTTTTAAATACTCAATAATATTGTAAAAAGAAAGTTTTTATGGAATCATTGCGCTGCAAAAAATCTAGAAAATGTATTCATTTTTTGAAGGTTTAAACGGGTATGTCTCTTTAATAAAGCTTACTACACCTATTATGTATATCCGGTCTTACCCGACCCATAGCATCCTGAGTCAAATATTTTAGTGTCCCTTGGGCACTAAGTTTCTAACCGGGCCTAAGTTTGGTTTTTAGCGGAGAATTTCCCTTGTGTAGAATGCATTTATGTATATTATTACCCTCTCACGGGTACACCTTGACGTGGTGGGAGAGCTTAAATACCTGGGGGTCGATTGTGTATATCTTTGAAACAAAGTGAAAATTACAAAAGTGAACAGATTTACTAGATTTCGACAAATGATATCGTAGATACTCTAATAAATTTACTCACTTTTGTAATTTTCACATCGTTTGAAAATACACAATCAACCCCCAGGACGGTGCCTTAAGGTCCTAAGCGTCCTAAAGATCTACTCGTCTACTGTGAAGGGGAAACCAAGTACCCAGCATTAATCTTTTTCGAGGAACTTATATATATTTTTCTATTACTCTCTACATCACCCTCATTATTTTTACTAGTTGTTGGCCGGAATGATCTGATCACACTCTAGATCAGAAAAAAGAAAAAAATAGATACCCAGTCAGCCACGTCTGTTCTAACAGATATTGTCAAGTGCTTGCTACAAATTATTGTCAGCAAAAAGGCTACAAATTTGGTGCAAGAGTTGTTATTACCGATTAAGCTGGCAGATTGCCGGCAAAAACCAAACAAAGCTTGCTAACATAACTAGACAGCAAATTGGCGGCAAAAACCGAGCAAACCTTGCTGACATGACTGACATCAGATTGTCAGCAAAAACTGAACAAGGTCTGAAGTGCGCAATTTAGTCAAATTTCAATCTTTAGTCTTCAATCTTCAATTTTCAATGCGTAGTCTGATACGGGCTTAAAAAGATCGATTTCAGAGGCGAGTTTTTCTCGCGGGCAAATGTTAAATTCTCTGACAGCCATTTTCTTCTCATCGTCGTGTCTCGTATACATGATATGTATGTGACGTGTATGTATGAATTAGACACACACACACACACTCGTGATACACATATACGGACATACTTTTATTTTCGCGCGACTTCTATCAGCTGACGTTGCTGATTTATACATATACTGGGGCACACGGCACAGGTGACAGGTGTACCAATACGACGCTAAGGCCTGAGGAGTACACACGCAAAACGGGACCACAGCACAGCAGAGGGGAATTGAAACTTTGTACGATCATCCGCATAACCTCAACCTCAACGTCATCGGAGAAGATTAATCAACACCGAATGAACTTGGGAGTCGCGCTGAGCCTGGGCCATCGCCTTCTGTAAAAGGTATGTGGGTTTAGTTCTATCGACTATCGTCTGCAAACAGTAACGGACGATAATTCGCACGACGTGTCCTCTCGAGAGACGCGTTTTAACGGGTGTTTTCCTCGCGATACTAGCCTCCGAGCACATACAAATCTGGACACCGAAGGAATAGTAGAAAGCATAAGGCAAAGATCAAGAAAGCACGTATGAAAGGCAAGACGGATATCATTCCAGATGGAATGATTTTAATGGATTCATGACTTATCTTTTTTCTAATTTTTGCACTCTTGAGCACTCTTGCGCTATATTTAAAACTTTTATATTAAAAGACAAATGCGCGCGTGTTTTGATATAGAATGTATCGAATAATTAGCATTTGCAATTATATTCTTTATTATTTGAATTATTTCGCCTTTATTTGTTTAAAAATTAGTAGTATACATATTTGTTTTACTATCTAATAAAGTGATAAATGCCTAAAGACTGAAAAGATAATCATGCCAATCTTTGTTGGTAAGTAGAAAAGCTATCTATATACATTTACAGATGTCTTTGACATTTCAACAAATTATATTAGATGCCAAAAAATTGGTCATTCGAATTTCGGACCATGAAAATACAGCAGATACTCTGATAAGCGAAGTAGAGGCAGTATGTGGACAAATTGATAACATGAAGCAGGTAAATATTATTTTTGTTATATGTTATGAAAAACAGTATATTATATATACTTTACTCTATGTTATATATTTCTAATATCGATTTTTATGTTTGCAGTATCAAGAGGAAGTAGAAATTTTAAATACAGAAGCTAAGCAAAGGCCACATCTGCAATTAATTGCTGGGATCCAAAGGGAAAATAAACATTTGCGAGAAATACAGGCAGAAAATAAAGAATTGAGAAACGCGTTAGAAGACAACCAACACGCACTTGAGCTCATAATGTCCAAATATCGACAACAAATGGCCTCTTTATTACGTCTCAACAAAACCGATTTTTCATCCTTGTACAATTCAAAATATGCCAATGTAAGTTTACAAATAAATTTACTAGTTTAAAATATAAATTACAGTGCAAAATGCAATGTTTCCTTTATATATTTTTTATACAGATAATAACCAGTCAAGCAGAAAAAATTAATGAAATGGCAGCTGTAATGAAAACAGCTGCTGCCTTAGACGAGGAAAATGAATTAAAGGAAAAGGAAGCATTTCATTCTTTGAAAGAGGAGAATGCTACGCTTCGAGAAATAATAAATATTGCAAATAAGTATGATTCCTTAAACAAAGAATGTTCTATAGAAAACAAAATTGTTCAAACGGATTTACCAATAGATTAAAGAAGTTCGCTCCTAGATCATTTGATCCTTTTTATAAGAAGTTGACATTATTTATTTCACACAAAATTTCATGACATACATTACTATTAGATAAATCTATTATAGGCAAGAAGTGTATGTGTGCAAGTTGTAGTATGTATATATATCTCTCTATTAAACATTTGTAATAAATTGTATAATCCATTTGCAACTATATTTAATTTATCTTGTAATTAATTTAAAATTGAGATTATTTTGATTGTGCGATTTTTAATTATACTTTCCTTCATGTTTTATAAAATGCTTTATTTCTCCGGAAAAAGATATATTAGGAATTCTTGTTTCACCTTTTTATCTTCTATTGAAGAGAAAGTTTGGTATGTGCCTATTGTTTGACGCGGCAAATTTTTTTATTGGGACCAACGTCGCAAATTTCTCCCAAAGAACCGTTTTTTTTTTTTTTTAAAGAAAGATTCGTGCAGTAAGTTATAAGGGCTGAAATTGAGAATAGTGTGAAAAAAATGGTTGAAAAGAAGAACAAGCTAAAATTTATTGCGGTTTTACCGTTAGGAATGTAGTTTCGGAATATCTTTTTGAATTTACATTATTACATGCAAGATGTTATAACAGTGCAACGAGCACGATTTTGACAATTGCTTTTAATGAAAATATTTTGATCAATATCGATCACAATGTATATCTACTATTCGTGTTCAATATATAGATAAAAAATAAATTTCCTAAAATGCATAATATAGTATAAAATATGTTTACATAGATATAAAATCTGTTTGTTCGTGTTCCTACTTTGATAACTCTTATCTATGTGGTAGGAACAAAAAGATAAAGAAAATTATATGGCGATCATGTGGTCATATATATTGTTGCGAATTTTTATGTTCTTTTAACTAAAGAATATTTATGAACTCTCCGAATATTATGAGCCACATTTTCTCATTTTTTATTAATGTCTTTCACATAAATTTTTCTTCAAGACATTAATTCTTTTAATAGCGAAGATTTTATTGGTATCTTCGCATTTTTTTAACGCTTATATTGTCTCTTTAATTTTTTCTGAAAAAAAAACGCGATAAAAAAGCCTATAAATTATTTTTACACTTAAATGTGGCAATTGACCTTGAAGTCACCATTGAGGATTGAGGTTGCAAAGGTAATTCTGTTCGTATTGTAGTATCTCGTTTTTCCGATGAAACAGAAAATTTTATGGCATATTTAATGAATACAGCGCTTTTTTTGCTTTTTTTTTTTTAAGATATCGAAATCCTGAATATTTAGCGCGCGCAGTTAGTTAATTATTCGAAGATCAATGAATAAAGATTATATATATGTCGCTAGAAACGTAATTCCATATGCAGAAAATTAATCACGATTTTCTAAATTTGTGAAAATATTTTCGGGAAGAACAATTTTCTAATTCGAGAAAATAAAGATCTAAGACTTTCTCATAAAGAATTAGAAACTGTATCGATTTGTTTCCAAAAGATAAGAGACTGATTATAAAAAACATACACTTTGCAGCTACATGTGTGTGTATGAATATTTAATAATATAGAAAGACGGAGTGAAAACTCGTGATATTATTTAATTTTGTCTTATATAATTTCTTTATCGTATTATTATATTTATGTTACTATCTCCGAAAGAGAGAGAGAGAGAGAAAGAGATACGTCTAATAGTGAAAATATTCATATTTTACTTTACTTTTAAATTTTTATGATTATGTATAATTGCGATAGATACATCCCATAAATACATGCCTTTCGAAAATCCTTTCGGGAAATGCATTTAATGAATATTGAGAAACATACATATATGACGCTTCTAGTCTATTATAACATGCAATTGTGAAAAGAAATTGGGTACAATCTGGTACATTAATCGTGTCCGATGCATTCTCATTTACAAGGATCGATTCTTTTTGTTTTTTTGTTCAAGTGCGAGGCTTTTTATAATTATACAGTTAATTACGCTAGATATGCGTTTTAAACATTATGAAGAAATTTGATAGTTGGACGTAATACATCGTACACATACATTAAACATTAATCACCCGACTGCACACATTTCTAGAATGTATGTATATAACGTAGGGGAACCTGTGAGTGTATGTGTGTGTATGGTGTGTGGGGCCCCGATGTCGACTCGATCTAGGGAGCGGGATAGCGTAGTAACTTTAAACCGGCCCCGAATTGCAGTCTGCGGCTCCGTTTGGATAGCTACAGGGTGTTCCATTCCTACTCTAATAATTACATATTAATATTCACGAAAAAATTTCATGCACAACTACGTGTCGATTTTTTGTTGGTCAGACATATAATGGAAAATCGTCTCTTTTTAATGGGGATCTTTACTGTTACTATCTTTTTTTAATTGACGTGTTAGACGTATAAATTGTTAAACAATTTCGAAAATTTTATTTTATTTTATTTTTTTTTACAGTAGGTATGACGAAAGCAATACAAATATTATGTAGATTACATTTAGATAAGATATGTTGAGTAACATTCCTTAGCGATTCTGTGAAATCTGTTAAGGATAATTTTTTTTTAAATTCTCCAATCTTATGTTTGCTTAATATAGATTTTATGTCCCAATAGATCAATTGAAGATAAAATATATCAGGTTTCGAAATACATTAGGTTTCGAAATAATTCTCCAACAAGAGTTTTACAAGAAATTTATTCAAGGTTTATTTCTTTTTTTCGCAGACAACTCGTAATTGCAGACTCCCTGAGGTGATGGCTGGAAAAAGATTACACGAGTAAAAACACGCCTTGAAAAAAAAAAAAAAAATGCATTAAAAATTTTTATCTTATACAGAATAATCGAAAAGGCAAAGGAAACATTTCTGTATCGGCAATTAATAATGACGAACGTTTTGCGAAAATCAATAGAGAAATAAAAAAGCGAAAAAAAACCGCGGTTTTTGCTTATGCATTTTTTTTTTCACAGTGGGACACCCTGTATAACGGACGTGCACATTCACGCTTGTTCACTTACGTGTACATGTACACGGGAAAAGTGACTTACACACGTATATACGAACGGGGGGCCAGTGAGTGGTTCACGCACAATTCACTACGCATCTATGCGTTCTTTTTCGAGTCCTCATTGGACAACCCTATCCACCAAGGTCAACCTCCCATCCCTCTCTTTCTCTCTATCTTTCTTCTTTCTCTCTCACTCTCTATTTCCCCTCAGCTTTTTTTTAATACTTCTTCTCGGATGCGATAGAAGGGTTTTTATAGCGATGTGTCCTTGGAATTCTGACAATGACCGGCTAGCATTTCCTGCGCTATCTAACAACGCGGCACCTGTTACAGCCGCTGCGCTTTTTCGATCCGATTGACGATCATCGATTTTCTGCTTCTGCTTTCTTCTTCTACGGATTTGTGTTCCTACTCAGACAGCATTACTTTTTCTCCCCCCTCTTTCTCTCTGTCTTCGTTCTCTTCTCTAAATTAATGTATAATCTTCCTTTTACCAGGGTTGGAAAGTTTATATCTTAACAAAAAAAATTTGACCGTTATTATGAACATTTTATTATGAAAGCTTTCTGGAAATTAATAACTCAAGATTCTGTTTCATCGTTGATAATTATTTCATACAAATATATCAAATTGCCTAATATATTATAGATACGTCATGCACACAAAATTGCTCTTGCTTTTGCGATAAAGATTTCTGAGGAAAAATATATAAAAATCAATCCGCAAACAAATTAAATTAATTTTCTATTTTTATTTTAAAATAAAGATAAGCATATCGCATATTCATCTAAAAATTAATAAAAAAATATGAAATATAATAGAGAGAAAGACAGAGAGAGCTTCTCAAAGATTGAATTTTATCCTAGAGTTTTTCAACTTTCGAGCCGACCGTGGCAACGCTCTTAAGACAATTCCCTCTAGAGAAGAATCCTGTCGGAGTCGTTGCTCCGCGTCGCTCGGCCGAAAAAGTCGTTGAACGAGAGCGCCCGGTGCATCGACCACGGGGTTGTCGAACGGGCGGAAGCCCGCAAATAGAAACCAGTTTCTCCTTGATTGCGAGCTCTCCTTTTTTTATTAGATTCTTTTACCGCGGAAGTGTTACAAGGTCGTATGCTGAAATTGCACACGTAACCGGGATCTTCCTTCCGCGAATTTGCATTCTGCCAAGAAGAGCCGGCGCGAAAATCGGAAATCGTATTTCGCGAACGCGCAAAAATGCCTTTTTCCACTATTTTTTCGATACATTAAACTTTAAGGGCAAAATAAAATTCTGACAATGAGTCTTAATTATTGATTTATGACATGTGTGATTATTGATGTTAGGGCAGTTTTATGACCGGATGCGATAATAGAATTTGGAAATGAAACTGACGTTGCTACGTCCAAGTGTATAAACGTTTGCCAGTCCAAACGTTACATATTTTTTCCAATGTAAAGTCGACATATTTGTACAAATTATCGAAAATTGACTACGAAACTATCGACGTTTGTTTAGTGATTCATCTAGAAGTTGTTACTGCAATGTCAATGCATGTGCAGTGTAAGAATTTTCGGCGGACAAAAGCGATATAGCTATTGGGAACTATTTGGAAAATGTAAACAAAGTTTATCTTGATTCGCTACCGCTTTTGTGTTTCAGTACGATAACAACTTCCTCTATTGATACATGAAAGAAAAGGTCAGAGATCAAAGGCTGAAGGGAAGAGCTTCTGCTCAACTAATTCACACGCAGTTGCAACAAACATATATACAACATATATATATATGTATATATGTTGCATAAATATATACCCAAATATCAAATATACGCCCTTTATAACCAGATACACATATATTATACAATATACATATTTTCTCCTTCTTCTTCTTCTTCCAGGGAAAAACATGACTCTATATTTTTCAATATAAATTAATTGCGGGCTAATACTCTCGAGTCTATATTCTTTATATTCTCATCTTAATATCGCATATAGTTTACGTATCAAAATTTAATTATTTGTTTGCAAAAAGATATCGCACATTATTGTTTTTGATAACGCGGTTCTAAATATTAAACGTAAGCAGTCGCGAACGTATATTTGAGTTTGTACGAGCATTTTTTTCGGTGCCTAAACTCGCGTTGGCGAAGACGGAGAAGGAGCGGCAGCCGGTCGCGAGCGAATAGGTCGGGAAAAATCACACGCGCGTATACGCGTATATATATGCGTGTG